AATATTTTCCCTCCAATCAGGTCCTGATGTTGAAACCTCAATAGGTATATGGCTACCAATAACAGTAGTGGCCTCTATAATCGCCGCTTTCTTGATCTTCTTGTTCATATTCATCCTTTACCGCACTGGTTACCTGGCGTGTCACTACAAGCGTGGCAAAGCATCATTCGAAGGTTTAAAACTTGAACATGCAGAATCAGTCGAAGCGTAAATCTGGAGATAAATCGACTTTATTTTCTGAGGGTACACTAGACAGTCACAGACTGCTGAACTTGTGGGCTATCATCTCTTTATCACGACTAGTACTTTAGCTAATAATTATTTCGGTAATAATGACTGAAGCATTTGAATTTAGATGGACCCAATGATGACCTCTGTGGTGTTCCACAACATAGTGTGTAACACGCGACGCTAGTCATCACAAGGGAATTCGAGGGATTTTACAATCAACAGTTACCTTAATCATCTATTGTCATGACCAGTTCTTTTGTTGATCATTAATACCATTGAAACAATTGAGTTGAGATGGACCCAGTGATGAACTCGGTGGTAATCCTAAGTACACGACATCACAAGGCCAAAATGAACAAGGCTAGACTGTCACTAAGCACAAACACCAATAGGGATCTACCTAATGAAGGCGTAGCCTTCGGAGAACATTTGTTTGAAATTATTTATAATTAACTCAAAGTCATAAGTTATTTCTTTCTTTCTTTCTTTCATTCATTCAAAAAGTTTGCTCGTTCTAGATGGGAAATATTCAAACTGTAATGCACATTATTGTAGTTAGATTTTTAAATGAATAATGTACATAAACTATACGAAGAAATTGTATTATTCAAACCTCAAAATGTGATAAAGTGCTGAATACCACAATAAAAAAATGTATAGCGCATAGCGCACGTCACGTGATTTCGAAGAATATAAAATATTGCAGTTTCGTTTTTCTTCTCTTCTCTTCTCTTTTCTCTTCTCTTCTCTTCTCTTCTCTTCTCTTCTCTTCAAATCTAATTGCCAAAGAAAAAGCTAGGATATCCAAGTTGGCAACAATTACCTCACACATCGGCTAGATCACACTTCAACATATACACTGCAACGTCTTCCATTCATTTTTTATCACAAGTCATAAGGTTGTGACTTCATAAACTTGTAACTTTATTTGACGCTCCATGGACTTTTGCTTGAAGTCCTTCTTTAAACTTTTCTCGGAGTCCATTGCTTCAGGGGGGAAAAATTTCAACTAGTATATGGGAAAACGTCATGAATATAATGACGGGGGGAATTGCAGTACAAAGAAAGCACATGACAAGGGAATTGTAGTACGAAGAAAGCAAGTGTCCAAAGCCGGGAAAGTTTGGTGCTGGGTCATCCATTAAGATCGTGGGAAATCAGTGGTGACAACTCGTATGATATCCATTTTCCAAGATGTACCAAGTGTACGTAGGAGTGCTGTGGGATTAAGACACGAGAAGAGACAACTTAAGCAAAATATGAAGAATTTATAGTAAAGATATAAACCCCTTGCACTGAGTCCCAAGAGGAATTGTTCTGGCGGAGAAAACATGGATGTTTTTTTCATTTTTTTTTTTTTTTTTTTTTTGTATAAGAAAGACGGCCTATTGTTTGTCCCGCAGAACAATTCATCTAGGAAATCAATGCAAGACTGGATCTATAGCATAAAAGCAATTAAAGTTACATAGAAAGATAGCGATAACATGTTTTYCTTGAAACCCGAAACTTCCATCACAAAGGCCTAGTACCTTTTTATTTTCAAAACAACCACACAGGCTATATATTTTAAAGTAAATTTRGGTACTAAGCTAAATAAAACAGAGTATAAACAAACATCTTCRATCAAATTTAAGAGAATCCATCAAAATTGTATGCGAAGTACTTCGGAGCAATTTTAAAGGATTTCAATGGAGAAGGATAGTTTTCGTTGAGACCGTTAAGTGTTCCATTTTTAGCCCTCTCAAAACTTTTAGTTACTTCGCTATACTTACAAAGATATTTCCGGATAAACAATTGAACAGAAATTGTTTCATTTTCTTTTGCTGTAAGTAATGGACACAGTGGGAAAATTTTAACTGTATTTTTGAAAAAGCAAACTACTGGAATTTTTAGAAATAAATAAGGATTAGGTTTCCAAAGAGTGAAACTGAACTGTTATCGTAAAAAGCTTTCAACGATATTTTTTTCCATCCCGACCAAAGTATGGATCGATGTGTAAGACGAGAATACGGGAGAAAATTTTGCTAGAACACAAGCTAAAGCTAATAGGAAAACTAAGAGTACACTTTTAAGAAAGTAAACAAGARCCGAACGTTCCCTCGAAGCCATGTGCTATGCTCTCAAACCTCGTTTTATTTTTTCAAMCTTCACCTCAGATTAACAGCTATTAGTTTCTTGAGTTTGATCCGCCCATTTATGTCTTAATTTCTCTCTCTCGGAAAAGTAAGATATTGTCGCTCTGAGACGACTTTGCCATGGCACCAAAGATTGCAGACACAATTTTTTATTGTCGTCGACAAAAGGGAATATAATTATTATTTTTTATGACATAGTCGAGAGTAGAACTTTATGAAGATAGGATTTTGAGAGACAGTGAATTATGAACTCTTGACATTAGTTTGAGTTCTTCAACTATTCTACTACTATTCTTTCTTTCTTTCTTTCTTTCTTTCCAAATTTAGCTCAGTTCTTTCATCAGTTTATATGAATTTTCTTACTGACTTCAAAGGCTCGTCTTATTTCCACTAAAAGTAAAACGTTTGCAATCTACCGATAGCCAGTAACTACCAGGCAATGAGCCCTGAATCGTCTGTTAAATATTTACTCAACACCTTCAGATCAAGTATCACATTCATCAGAATATGACATTGAAAGTACAACTCTAAAGAAAGAAAGAAGTAATAGTATTACATTAGCTTACAGTCAACAAGCTTATTACTTGTAACATGAACGGTGTTTCCTAAACTTCCTAATTGTATGTCACTAGAATGTAGCTAGTGTTTTCTGGAAAATTATGTGCTTGGCTGGAGAGTACATCTGATACTTTTGACAAATGGTCTTGAAAGGTGGGAGTCAAGCAGTGAAGCCGTATTATTTTCCTATCACCCATTGATCACTTATATAAGAGAGTACAAGATCATCCGTCATCTCATCCAAGCATTGGGCACGCTCCAAGGTGTCTCCAGTTCATATAAATCTTAAACAGCGTCGAAAGGAAAGAGCTTTTAATTTCTTAGAGAGCTAAAGAGAAACGAAGAAGATGGGTCAACACATTTTGTTAGTGGTAGTGTATCTGGTATCGAATTTTGTATTGTTGAAGGTAAGAGAATACATGATTAAAGACCTTGGGAACTTGATAATTTGTTTTTAATTCTATAGGAACATTGACGTCAATTTCTTTAACTACCAGTTTAAGAAAACGCTATCCGAATGAACTTGAACCTTCATTAAATTTCATCGATTGTGGAATTTCATCAAAGGAAAGAGACTTTCAAAACTTTTTTTACTTCAGCAGAGACGTGTGAATTAAAAACGATTTCGTGAATAAATCGACAAATGAGTTTACTATATACTAGGCAAGGTATCATATCGTAGCCTGCGTGCAGCCRGACTTTTCTCTCAGACATCGTGGCCGGGTCAAAATTCTCGATTGAAAGCTGTATTACTTACTTGACCTCAAATTTCCCTTGACATACGAAAGATCCCCTGTGTGCGAATTGTAGGAAAGACTGTACTGGACTAGATGTACTATTACCGTCGGCGCTTTTATTGAAATATACATTTAATTTATTGATAATTTTAATTATAAATTTAAAATTATATTAATTTATATTTCCTTTGCTTTTTTTTTTTTTTCCTTCTGTTCCCTTCTCTTCGTTCCTTTCTTCGTTCGTTCGTTCGTTTATTCGTTCGTTCGTTCGTTCCGCGTTCCTTCCTTCCAGAGCCAACAAACTCCCGATTTGAATCTTCACTCGTTCATGACAAACGAAGAAATGGCGCATTACTTGGAAACAAAGTCACGTGATGACAGTAAGTGAACTCTGAACAGTTATTAGGCAAATGACAAATGTTTTTTTGATCTATTTTTTGGTACGCTTTCAACTTTCTCTAGAGGCCATGAATTAAGTTTAGTTTTATTTCCAGTTTTTCTTTTTTTTTTTTTTTCCAAATTGGTTAATCTTCTTCAAGCTACTTTTATAACTGGTTTTCAACTTCTTGGCCAATATACTGTCATAATTTTTACGAAGTGTATTTGCAATTGCCATTTTAAACTGCAGACTAGAGAAAGTCTACAACGACTGTTCTGCCACACTAGTATTTAACAGACAACTTACATTACCTGCTCTTCTCGTTCGACAGTTCCAGAGTATGACGTTATATCATTATCTCCGCACAAAACCAAACGGAGCACACACCAAGATGACGACAAAARAATCTACAAAATGTCAGCCTTTGGTAAAGATCTTCTTCTTGATTTACGGCAGACAACGAGCTCTATCAGACCTTCAGGGATCTTGGTGCAACAACGAACGAAGGATGGGCGTCTGAAAGTGGAAGTTTACAAACCGGAAGGAAACTTTTTTCATGGCCACGTGGTGTCGGATCCAGGTTCTAGAGTTGCGCTGAGGGAGACTGGCGACAAAGGAGAATTGGTGAGGACACTTTATTCAGCATTTGTCAAAAATATTTTAAAAAAATAGAACCTCTGTTGAATTGAGCGGCTAACCTCTATTGAACGGCCAACCTCTATTGAACGGCCACCCTCTATTGAACGGCAAACCTCTATTGAACGGCCA